GTATAAAATCCAATTCAATATTCCATAGACGTGTGTGTGTGTGTGTGTGTGTGTGTGTGTGTGTGTGTGTGTTTAGTGCTCACCATATCTTTGATTTGTGAGAGTGTGATCTGTAGAGTGACGTTAAGGGCTTTGTCTGTGTCCTCCACAGGCCGTAATGCGTTAGAATAGTTCTCCATCAGGTCGTTCAGCAGTTTTTGAGCAAAACGACCCTGAGCAGAGAAAACAACTACAGAGGACAATATAGTTATTTAGTTGTTTTTATAAAATAATGTTTAGACATACAGCTTAAAAATCATGCATATGCTCAAATACAAACAATAATCATTATGTAGTATATATAAAATTACTATTTATACATGTATGAATCTAGCCTGAATGTCATTCTTACTGTTTCTCTGGAACAAGAGCCGAGGTATCACATAGCATGCACACTAACACACACACACACACACACACACACACACACACACCTTGTCACTGTGGAAATATTCATCTATATGCAAGAAGAAAGTGTATGTTTTAATATTGGGGATCTTCTGTTCTTTCAAAAGCAGAAACATGTTATGTGTTATCTTCTGCATGCTTGTTATGGATGGTCTGTTGTGATTGTGTGTGATTGAATGTGTTTGTCCGTCACAGTGAGAGCCGATCTGACAAGGGTTTTGTGCAGACAGGTCATGTTGTGGTTTGAATGTTACACACAATGAATTTGAAAGGAAGAGAGGTCTGTCTCTGACACATGCACACACTGAATTTCAAGACCGCAGAGATTAACAGGTAATGTGTTATGAGGTATAAAATCCAATCCAGTGTTTTTAACCACCTTTTCTGTCTCATTAAAGAGTGAGAACAAGTAATATTGTTCCTGTATTCGTTTACTAGTGAGCTTTTTTCAGTGGCTAAGGCACAGGAATTAAAATTATATAAACTAATACTATTGTGCCAAATTTATTCAGACTACATTTGTGATAGTGCACTAATTTTTGATATTTTACATGAGATAGAGCAGGCTATGAAACAATGAAAGTTTATGTACCAAGGAATTATATTACTTAAATCAATTAAACAAATCCACTTGGTCAAACAAACAAATAAATAAATATATACAGTATGTATGTATGTATGTATGTATGTATATAGTTAGTTCAAGAAAATTAGTTCAAAATATATTCTCTGAAAATCTCTTATCTGACACAATTTTGCTTATCAAACAAATTAATCTTGTTTTAAAGGATGTTTAGTTATTTTACTGAAAAACAAGACAAAATACAAAGACAAGACAAAATAATACAAGACAACAAAAATAATATATATGCATGTCAACATATTTGTTACATATTGACACAACTAGCATTCAAATTGTGCTGAAAAATCATATTTTGCTATCTTTAAAGCAGTCATGGTGTTGGAAGATACCAATTTTACTTATTAAAAATCACAGACACATTCTTTGCATTTGCACTCTAAAAAATGTTGGGTTAAATATAACCCAGCGCTGGGTTAAAAAGGGACAAACCCAGCTATTGGGTTGTTTTGTCCCAACTATTGAGTTGTTTTGAACCCAACCGTTGGGTCAAAACAACCCAATAGCCGGGTTTGTCCCTTTTTAACCCAGCGCTGGGTTAAAAAGGGACAAACCCAGCTATTGGGTTGCTTTGACCCAGCTATTGGGTTGTTTTGACCCAGCTATTGGGTTATTTTGACCGAGCTATTGAGTTGTTTTGAACCCAACCGCTGGGTCAAAACAACCCAATAGCCGGGTTTGTCCCTTTTTAACCCAGCGCTGGGTTATATTTAACCCAGCATTTTTTAGAGTGTGACAAAGCTGAATCAACGTATTGCGAACATTTTATAAATTTATACATTTCTCTCTCTATTTATTTATTTATTTGAAAAGTCCATTTGGTGCGGAGATGTTTAATAGCATGTCAAATCATGGGATATGTTTTGTCCCATGTGTAAAGAATCAGTTATAATTAAGTCCCATTTTACAAGTAACTTACAGTTTTCTATGCACCTATGGATGTTTGTAACAAATTTCTTTAGATTGTTTCAGGCAGCCCCCTCATATTTCCCAGCGCCTACGCAGGAATACAAGCTCATACACACACACAAGGAGAGGAATAAGACAGGAAGTGGTTCTTCTCGAGGCGTCTTTCTATCTTTCTCTTTCTTTCTCAGGCGTAGGAGAGTTTCATATCCTGTAGCGCAATTCGACATATTACGCTGCAGAACTACATTACCCAGAATGCTCCAGTATAGACAATCATTCTCAGGGATGACTAAATATGTTGCTTAAAAAGGAAGCTGTTTTAGATAATTGTCATTTCTTCTTCCATTTTTCTCTCTTACCTGTTCATGTTACACTACGGCAGAGCAGGTAAGTGTATCTTTAGAGATAAAATGTCACAATCAAAGGACATAATGACTCAAAATGACTCAGGATGGGTATTCTCTTTGTACTGTCTGAAATTAAGGTGATTCTTTCAGTATCATTTTCAGAGGTATCTTCCCTGTCCTACACAATCCTTCCTCTCTGACTCACTGTTGGCTAGATGACACAAAGTGTGGAAAATCCTAAAGGTTCAAGTGATGATTTTTTTAATATATCTCTGCTTATTTTTGCCTATGTTTTTTTGCTAATTTCAACATCCTGAGGTGCTTAAATGCATATGTCGCTTATCTGATGATGCACAATCTCTTAAGTTTTGGCTTAACTGTCATAAATAGGTGATTGTGCAAGGCTTTGATGCTTTATGGGTGGATTGTGTGTGTATGTGTATCAGAGCGCTCGTGTGGTAAGAGAACAGTGCAGGTGTTTCCTGTTGTAAAAAAGAGAACAGAATGTGTGGTAGGGTCGCATACAACAAATGTGTATATGCATGCGTGTATTGATTTTGTGTGTTGTGCAGACCACAGCACTCTGTAAATTGGCCAAATTTGGACTGAGGCATATTTATAATACAGTAGCAGTCTCTCGTACACACATTACAGTTTAAAGCCTAGTTCTTTAAAGGGAGAGTTCACCCAAAAATGACAATTCTGTCATCATTTACTAATTTCCATGTCATTTCAAAAATGGACTGATGAACTGTTTTTGTCCGTGCAGTTTAAGTTATTGAAGTCCAAAATAACACTGGACCCCTTTGTCTTTTATTGTATGGACAAAAAACACAGAATATTGATTTTGTGTGTTGTGCAGACCACAGCACTCTGTAAATTGGCCAAATTTGGACTGAGGCATATTTATAATACAGTAGCAGTCTCTCGTACACACATTACAGTTTAAAGCCTAGTTCTTTAAAGGGAGAGTTCACCCAAAAATGACAATTCTGTCATCATTTACTAATTTCCATGTCATTTCAAAAATGGACTGATGAACTGTTTTTGTCCGTGCAGTTTAAGTTATTGAAGTCCAAAATAACACTGGACCCCTTTGTCTTTTAAACACAGAATGCTTTTGTTTGTTTTTAAAAATAAATAAATAAATAAATTCATAAATGCACCAATTAAGCTTACGTCCTATTTGCTTCACTTGCACATTCAGTGTATTCAAATAGAGTAGTAAATAAAATCATTTTTTCACTTCCTCTTTTGTGGTTTATATATATTGCAGTTTGAGTACAGTCCTGTTGTTACCTAATGCCACCTTTTATTTGATAAAAAATAAAAATAACTCATAAGCTATACCAAAAGCTTGAATAAGCCCAGTGTAGGAATGTAGTTCATTTTCATTCTTCTCATTAAACCACACACCCATGCTAAGTTGACTTCTAGAATCAAAATATTTCTGACAGCGCAGGAATACCTTAACTTGCAAAATATTTACACCGTATTTCACAATGCAGTTATAGCGTTTTTCTGTGGAGCACAACGTGGTTTCAGTGAATTCAGCGAGAGACGTTCTCCTGTTGGGATGTGGTTTCGGGGTCTGAACTCTTTAGTTCTCCAAAAGCACGGCCTACATCACCCCATCTCCATAAACCACATAACATATACTCCCTCTTTCTATTGCTCTGTCGTCCTCTTCTCCTCTTCCTTTCATGTAATCCGAGTAGTAGAGCGCATCTCCTTTGTTTTTACATCTCGCCTGAGTGTTCATTTGATAACAATTTTATAAAAACATTCCACTGCCTAGTTACGTATGGCACGAAGGGTCAAAATATCAGAGGCTGCATGTTGTGGATTATATTATAAATAACTCTATTCTGTGCATTTTCCTCTGATGTCTTCTATGCATCAAGCCTTAGCCTCATGACTTTCCTGGACAAGCAAATTGTCAGGCTGCTGTGCAATGTGATACAATCACTGCAAATCAGAACATATCTGATGTATGATATATAATCATATCAAGAGGGTCTGTACATTATTGTACAGCACTGAAGTAGAGAATAGCTCAAGCAAGGTGAACGCTATCTCTGTTGTCTTCATAATCGTTCTCACCAGCGCACACTTAACCTTCACATTGACAACCAAACCTGGAACCTTAGAATAGAGTGTTTCAGAATGGCTGTATATAACATGCTCGCTTTATGTCCTGCACATATGTACTGTCATAATGAAGACATTATGTATCATGTATTACATATTATCTGAGGCTTATAGAATTTTCAAAGTAGTATGTGATTTAATCATTTCTATACTTTCCTAAAACTACTTTTCTGTTTTGTGTGTGTGTGAGAAACCGCTCGTATACCTGTGGCTGACTATCTCAGATAGCAGATGCAGTTCATTGTATATCGACAGAAGAGATAATGAACAGTATAACCTCTAGTAAAACTGTTTTTAGCAAAAGGCGTATTCGAATTGCGGTCTGGGGACCCCCAGGGGGTCTCCAGAAGGGCCCACACTGTCCGCAGGAAATTTCAGCAAAAAAAAAAAACAAGGAACGAAAGAAAACTAATTTTGTTTTGGAACAGAATTTATTGTAAAAAATGCTATACAAATAGCTTTAACTCATCAATGCACATCTCGAATAATAATGTTTATTTTGGCTCTAGTAACAAAATTAAATCACAATTTTTTACACAGTAAATATGAGTCTTAAAATAAATAGCTAACTTTATGTTTTAGGAAGAGGGTCCTTCTCAAGGGGGTTGTCATAGTTTTAGCATTAATAAGTTTAATAATTCTTATTTTTAATAACACACGCCTTTGCTTATTTAGTCAGAACGTATGTAAACATATTTTCCATGGTTCGCTGTGCGTGACAAACCACACAGAGCTAAACTCTTTTTTATTAAAACAACTCCTTTTTTTAAGTGACCTCATAAAGATTATGAAATCAATCTTTTAAGAAAAAGAACTTCACGACTGAAATTCTCATCTTATAGCTTTAAGCTCCATAAACAACAAGACACAGAAAAAAGCGTTGTCAGCAAATCAGAAATTCATAAACAAAGTGATTTAATCGCCATTTAAAATTAAGATTGCAGAATGTGATCTGACATTATGAGCTAATGTGAATCCCTATTTTACATTTTCACATGCAGGTCTAGGAGAGAAACCAGGTAGATTGAGAGTGAGTTTTAAGGGTCCGTTTTAATTCACAAGAATGAAACTTAAAACTGAACTTGAAGAGCTCCAATCTACAAATGCACATTTTCCAACACGAGTAGCAATGAAAGACGCACCTGTCTTTTAAAAGATATGTTCGACTTCCTGTGTTCAATAATTTTCTACTCATAAAATCAACAACAAGGACACAGCTTTTTAATGAATAAATATCTGTTCGATGTCTGTAATGACTCAAAATCTTAAGTATACAATATTAAGATAGCAGTGTTAAGAAGTCTTTGTTGAGGCTTCAAATAGTTGGTATTGTGTGTGAGAAACAATTAGTGATGAGAATCAAACGACATTCCTCTTTTAAAAGCATCAGGACATTTTACAGGGGTTAATGTCTATGAGTCTCCAGCGTGTCCGTCTTCGTGCCCGATTAACAGCCGTCCGAACAGCACACTCAAAAACCTGTTGCACGCCACGATTGCTGAGAGCCGAGCATTCCAGGTATCCCTTGGCACGGATCTCCTGTGCCACCTGTTTGCCCTCCGAAGCCGCGGTGCAGCTGGTGCGATACGGCCCCATCTCACGATGGTCCGTCTGTGTGGCAACAACCAGCACAGGAACCTTCGGGAGATATTCCCTCACTTCAGTGATCCATTTGTGCCGCAAATTATTTAACGAATTCGGATTTGCCACCGAATAGCAGAGCAAAACCACATCCGCCTGCTGATAGGACATGGGCCGGATTTGGCGGAATGTATCATGGCCTGCTGTATCCCACAGTCCCAAGCTGATCTGGACTCCATCCATGAATACATCAACGCCAGTGTTTTCATAGACAGTAGGTCTGTAGCTGTCTGGGAACGTTTCAGAAGTGAATCGTACAAGAAGTGCCGTTTTACCCACCGCACAGTCCCCGACCAGGACGCATTTCACTGAGGCCTCTACCAGCCCATTCATCCTTCTGTCCATCTGGTGTTGTAGTTATTGTAAATAATGAGTGTAAAAAAACGATCAGTGGTGTCCAACAGATGATGAAGTCATCTTTCTAATTGCAAGTCTGCAGAAATGTGAGCTCTAAGAATAAAAGCACTGCTAGTTACACAGCATTCTGAAGTCTTGTGGTGATTCCCTCCTCGGCTCTGTAATCCAGTGAAGGTTTAGGAGCTGAGTTCATTATGGTCCATTAGAGATATTCAAGATGGAGAAATCCAGAAGTGGCTCAGCTGTATCCCTCCTTTGACCGTTTCACTCCTGCCTAATTGAAAGAACAAAGAAGTACAATTACTATTATGCAATCGCAAAACACCAAGAAATGTTTTTTATGCAATGAGATTTTTTTATACGTAATCTACAAAAAATTCATCTAATTGGTCTTATATTTAAAGAAACAGTTTCATTTAAAAGACATTGTCATCATTTACTCACCCACGTGTCGTTCCAAACCTGTATGACTCTCTTTCTCTTTCTAAAATGATTTTGAAAAGTGTGTCATTCTGGGTTTTTTTGGTCCATACAATGACTATGGAGTCAGATGTTGTTTGGACCCCAACGTTCTTCTAAATACATTCCTTTGTGTTCATTAGAATAAAGCAAGTCATACAGGTTTGGAATGACATGAGAATTCCGTCTTTTTCTCACCCTCATTTTTTTGTGTTCATCATCCCTTTAATATCTTTAAAATACCAAAGAAATACTACAACATCATTCTTAGATCTTAGAAATCAATAGAATATCCCGCTAACACCACAGAGCACAGTAGACTCCTCTCATTGCAGGCCTCAGACATCACTTCCCATTGACAACGGCCCTGTTATCGACTAAAGTCGAATTGACACATTTTTGGCTATAGTATTCTAAAAAATGCTGTTTAGCACAAATGCGACAGCTCATTTGTTTGTTTGTTTAATAACTCTATGGGCCAATGCTGGTAAAGGCGCATTCGACAAAACTCAACCTCAAAGATGAATCTCGAAATGGCAACATGGCTGTCATGAGAGGAAAGTACACTGATGATTCAAACAGCTGCTCCACTTAATACCACAAAAGGCCAAATGGTTGTGATATACTGTCAGAAAACACTTTTCGGTATGAAAAAACACTGGAAACATCGTCAGCCAGAATATTCTTGAGAAGCAGGCCTATAATCTGGCAAGTATTTAATAGCCTCTACGGTGTATTTCTTTGCTAGTATAGAAAATGTGGTGTTATAAAATGACTCCAACAATTATATCCTTATTGACAGGATTTGTAAAGTCTTGTGTGTTTCATTAAAGAAATACTATGAATATTGGAAACCATAATCTAAATTTAAAGGATTACAATACAATCGGTGATGGAGAAAACTCCCTTTACACACACACACACACACACACACACACACACGCTGTTCACAGACTCTGAAGCATTGCAAGGTATAATAAAAATATAGATTTTTGTTCATCGAAAAATAATTAGTAACTAAAAAATTTGACATGTCAACAAAAAGTATCAAACAATTTATTGAAGTCCTTGTTAACCACATTATATTAATCCGAAACAAGAATATGCTTTTCATTTTTTTTTTTTTTTGAAGATGTGAAAATTTATATTTACAAAATATATTGAATTTACAAAATAACTAATTTCAATTTAAACTGGTTAAGAACCTTACAAATAATGAACACTATACATATCAGGTTCGGATTGGTGATCAATTTATGCAGGCAAAATAAGTTTAATACATTTATAGAAAAAAGGATCCACAGTTTTAAACTGAGGCACGGTATAATTAATAGATGCATTACAAAGAAGAAAACAACTCACCTCTTTGAACCCTTCAACCGTGAGATTCACATGCGTAGATAAAGCTCAGTTTAGCATCTGTTATTTTAATTTAATGAAGCATTAGAAAGAGATCAGACCTCAGTCCAATGCTGCATTTTTCTCAAAACTTAAAAACTGTTAAACTCAGGAAACTCAAGCACCTTTGAGCACAGAGAGATAATATATGCCTTCACAGACAGAGCATATGCTGCATCCTCTAGCAGAGGGAAGTGAAATGCGAGGCTGGGCTCTTTTCTCTGTAAAATCGTACATCAAATCCCTTCTAAGCTTCCGCTGTGACGTTCTCAGCACATCTACGGCATCGAGTCTTGCTTCTTCTGCAGTCAAGAACTCATTACGCATGAAACGGTCTAATGCAGCAAGGAAAAGAAACTAAGATACAAACAAGAACAAGATTCTTTGTGTGGGGTCCCTGAGACATTTTAGTCATTTTGAAAGGAATCCTTATTTCCAGTTTAAATTATTTGATCACAAATTAGACACCTTTTAGAAAGGTCTGTTAGCTGGTATAGTATTAAAATAGCCTTGGGATGAAGTTTAAGTGAAATAGAATAATTACCAGAGCACTTGTTTAAGTTATGAAAGGGCATGGAATTAAAGCATGATAGTTTTGTTTTGCAGCAAACACATTGCTGTTTAGATCAGCTGAAGGACGCGATTCAAAGCATCCAAACTTCAGTGCATGTTCTACAGCAGGGCTGCCCAAACTGGGTGTCCTGCAGAGTTTAGCTCCAACTTGCCTCAACACACCTGCCTTTAAGTTTCTAGTATGCCTAGTAAGAGCTTGATTAGCTGCTTCAGGTGTGTTTAATTGGGGTTGGAGCTAAACTCTGCGGGACACCGGCCCTCCAGGACCGAGTTTGGACACCCCTGTTCTATAGCATCAAACATTTCTAATGAATAATGGCAGAAAAAGTCATTCAGCGCGTCGCCCTCTGATGGAGAGGAAGTGCACTGCATTCACATCGACAGCTGCCACTTTCATCATGGAGGAATCTGACCTTTACTAATTGAAACAAAGGTCAGCTACTGAGCGTTCAACATGCGGAGTTATATTTTCCCCCACCAACGGTTTCTACTGATTCAAGGGGAAATGTAGAAAGAGAAATGAGGATGTAGAAAATGTTCAGCTGTGATTTTGAGCTCCAAGCACATGCTACACTAAGCCCTATAGAGCTGTGCTGAATAAACTCCATTTTAATTTCACCAAAAGAATCAAAGCTTGTACATTTTAAGACTTTATTCTTCCCTTCAGTTTTTTTTCCCCACCATAATGTCTAACAAAAATAAAACAAAATTATACATATAAAATCTTTCCAAATATACAATTTCACAAAAACATTTTCCAGAATAAATTCTTACACATAAGAATTGTGATTTGCATAGCAGCATTAAGATGTCTATAAAAATATGCGTGGCATCAACATTTTAAACTGGAAATATAAAAACCAAAGCTGAGCTAAAACTCGAGCACTAGCACGTCAAGGCAACATAAAATGTATCATTCTGATCTAGGATCCGTCCAAGCTGCTCACAAACCAACTAAAATGCAAAGCTGACTGAGCATCAGCATTTATATTTCCAGAAACGCTATTAAATATATTTCTACATATACCAACACTGAAGAGAATAAGCCATCCTGTGACTAATGGCCTTGCGAGGGAGCATCAACATTCAAGATAGTATAATCTGTATATACAGCTCAATACACTATAAAACACTGTAAATATGTAGTACCTTGATTTTTATGACTTCGATGCACAATTACTGAAAGACGTGAAAATATGTATGTAGCAAACAGACAAAAGAACTGTGTAAAGACTGGCACTATTAGTCCTCAGAGAAGACGCTCTGGATTAAGGCAGTGGAAAGAGAGAAATCTAAAAGTAAAAGCTTCATTATAGCAGCTCTTTGTGAAGCGTGACCAGCACCAATCCGGTCTTAGGCTCGGTGTAACTGTGAGAAAGACAGAAAGAAATGAATAAATCACAAAATGTACATTTAATGACAATTGGTTCTGCAAAATACAATATCAAAATATGTCAAATTAAGTCCCTAGTATGCTTCTATAATGCTGCTGGCTTCTTAGCATTCAGATTACATTTGTTATACATTTTTTATTCTTTTAACTTTTATGATTTTTTTTTTCCATTTCATTTCAAAAATAGCTTTTAAAATTAACTTCAATTTAAAAAGATGAAGAACCTTACAAATAATGAACACTATGTGCATCAAGTTTGGATTGTTGATCAATGCATGCTGATGAAATAACCTAATTTAGAAAAACAGACCCACTGTGAATTTTTGTCAATATTTTGAATAAAAGACCAAGTAACACGTTAGTTTGGGGACCAATTCTCATTGCTTATTAGCATGCATATTATTAGCATACTGGCTGTTTATTAGTACTTATAAAGCACATATTAATGCCTTATTCTGCATGAGCATATTTTAGATCCCTTAATCCACCCCATACCTAAACTTAACAACTACCATACTAACTATTAATAAGCAGCTAATTAGGAGTTTATCGAGGCAAAAGTCACAGTTAATAGTTAGATAATAGTGAGAATTGGTCCCAAACTAAAGTATAGCCAGACCCAGCTGTGTGACTTAAGTGTGTGTGCAAATATTCTTAATACTTCATTGGCAGGACCTAGAATGCGTCTACACTGAAAGATGTTTCGTTCCAAGCGATGGAATGACAGTAGCATGTACTGAATCAATGTAGCATTCAGAAAGACACATTGCAAGAGCGCTGGATGCAGTCAGTATACCTGAAGTGGTGGTTTTTGAGGTAGTCTAGTACAGCAGGCCTGATGCGTGCCACTCCTCCTTGGCTGCGATTGCCTCTTCCCGTGATGACTGACAGCTGAGGCTGACACAAACCCTGACTCAATTCTACAAAAGACACAGCCATTAAAGACAACGCCAGACTCTGAAATCAAAACATTATCCAACACACCAAAACCTGCACAATCCATGTGCTGCATACACTAGAAAAACTGTTCTTTTGTATGTTTGTGGATCACATACCTAAATTTTTGTCGGTGAGAACCTGACTAAGATGATGAAGGGCCTCATCCACATGCAGTCCATGGAGATCTAGAATATTCTGAGGCAGGAGTGAAGCATTCACTTGCTGGAATATCTGCATGGCTGCTCGATGGTTCGCTTCACGCATCTTCTCCCCATGCATGTGACCCTAAGCATACACAAAATTGTGCATAGAAACTTTATAAGTAAGAGCTCTGATCCAAGAACAGCACTGCACTCGGCATGCATTTTTAAAAAGCACCTGCTAATAGATATAGGAAATAATGCTCGACATGTAGGGATCCTGAAAGAGATGGAATTCATGCTTCGTGGAATGAGTAGTTCATTCAATAGAAAGTCTGAAAATCCCCAGAATGGTCCAGAGGAAACTAGGAATCAGGAGAAACAAGTAATTCTCCAGTTTATGAATGAGCAATTCCGGGATGTGAAATTGCAAAAATGATTTTGATTTCTACAGAGTGCAACAGTCAGTCAGGTTATGCAAATAAAAATGCCATTTCACACTGTCTGATTGTCCCATTCTACAACAATCAGACAATTTGTTAATTAATTTACCAAAATAAGAGGGATCATACCAAATGCATGTTATTTTTTATTTAGTACTGACCTGAATGAGATATTTCACATAAAAGATGTTTACATATAGTCCACAAGAGAAAATAATAGTTGAATTTATAAAAATGACCCTGTTCAAAAGTTTACATGCGCTTGATTCTTAATACTGTTTTTTTTACAGCTGTTTTTTTTTTTTTAAAGAATGAAGATGTGTACATTTTTCTTATTTTGCCTAAATATCATATTTTTTTCATTTCGTACTGTTCAGGACAAGGGACTCATGAACAACTATCACAAAACAAACATCTTATCTTATTCAGGTCAGTACTAAATAAAAAATAACATGCATTTTGTATGATCCCTCTTATTTTGGTAAAATAATTAACATTTTGCAGATACTGCAAAGTGTATGTAAAACTTTGACCACAACTGTATATACACACACACATATAGCCTCATATGTTGACTGGTTTGATTCATGGCTTATAACTCATAAGATCTTTTTTTAATTCCTATAAGAAAAATGAAAATGAAAAATACTTCCAGAAGTAAGGCTGCTGAAAAAGTGGCCGGCACTGTTGCACTTTTTGTGAGTTTGTACTGAAAATCCTTATTTCTTGTAAATTAAACATAAGAAATGTTATTATCTGTGTGTCAAGTGGCGCAGCAATCGTTCAATGTGGACAGACACATAGCTCATCACCAGAAATGACGTTTTGCACATTAAAACACTGTTTAAATTTTGTGTTTGTCTCAAAACTATTCTTTTGTTTTTGGATCAGTTTTTCAGCACACATTATAATGTTCATCTCTTGAACCTGTTGTGCGTAGAAACTAGCCACATCCTTGCGTCCCTGCCGATGGGCTTCAGCTGCCTTGTTAAAACACTCTATCTGCTGATGTCTCTGCAGTGTTGCCTCTGTGCGGAAGTCCTCATATTCTGGATCCTCTGAATCCTGGAATTGAGCAGCTTCCGCCTCCCCATCTCTCGGCTTCCATCTCTGAGTGAGTGAGTCAAAATGCATCAACAATCAACACAGAAATTCCGTTTCATTTCAGTATGCTGTATGGTCACACGTAGCTCACCCGCTCTTTGCTCGGAGTTCTGTGCGCGCCATTACGCTGAGGAGTAGGTTCAGGAACCACTACATTTCTGACTGGCCCGTCATCCAACAGAGCATGCAAAAACTGTTCGGTCTGCTCCAGAGAGTAACTACACAAGCAGATGGTCAGGAGACATTTCCTTTCAGGTTATTTCTGCTTTCTTAGTTATTGTTTCTCGTCTTATTGTGCACAATTCCTCAGCACATAATTTTCTAAAAACAAATGATAACAAACAAATGGTTTATTTTAGGGACCAATTCTCACTATTAACTAGCATGCATATTACTTGCATACTGACTGTTTATTAGTACTTATAAAGCACATATGTGACCCTGGACCACAAAACCAGTCTTAAGTGTCAATTTTTCGAAATTGAAAGCTGAATGAAGAAGCTTTCCATTGATGTATGGTTTGTTAGGAGGGGTGTTTCTCTGCAGCAGGGACTGGAGCACTTGTCAGGATAGAAGGAAAAATGGATGGGGCAAAATACCGTCAAATTCTTGAGGAAAATCTGCTGCCCTCTGCCAGAAAGTTGCCAATGGGAAGAAGTGGTAAACGTCCTTGCATGGCCTCGTCAGAGCCCTGACTATAAACCCCACTGAAAATCTGTGGAATGACCTGAAGACTGCAGTCCACAAACACTCACATCAGATTGAACTGAACTTGAGCAGTTCTGCAAAGAAGAGTGGGCAAATATTGCAAAGCCTATATGTGCAAAGTTAGTAGAGACAAATCCCAACAGACTTAAGGCTGTAATTAAAGCAAAAGGTGCTTCAACAAAAT